CTCGTGGGAGAGCCCTGCGCCCGCTGGCTCTGGCGAAGGCGGGACGAACCCCGGGTGCCGAGGCGGAGGCATGAAGCGCAGACGCGGAGGCAGCGCTGCCCAGCAGGTCGGGGCCTGCGATGTCTGGCTGGACACGGCGAAGCTGAAGCAGCGCCCGGTAGAGGTGAGGGGCGCGCGCTGTCCTTTGCCAGCCGGGGCTGTGCTCGCCTGAAGGCGTGCGTAGTCCTGTAAGTTTGTAAGCGACCGCGATTAGGAGATACAATTATAGTGTAAGTTAGAAGGGGCTGGCTGAACGAGGTGCCAGATGGATGCGACGTAGAAGTACTCAAAGACGCGTGAGAAGGCTGGGATGTGGTCACGCTTTGGGCTGTGCAGGACACTTGGATAGGAAGAGCTGAACCGGTTATCAAGGAAGCAGGAATTATGCCACGGCATTGGAAGACAGGTAGGTGTCTGGTTAACGGAGCACGGTCACTTTCGACTTGTTTCTTTCCTTTCCTAGTCTCTCATATCCAGGCCAAAAGTATCTCATCGACTTCTGCAAAGGCGTTGTGATGGGTACACCTCAGTGTCTTTCACGCAGACAGGAGCAGCTCCGTCACGCACCAAGCAAACTACCCTCTCCGCCTTCTTCAGTACTCAAAAAGGTAACGTGAACCAGCTTGCGCTCATGTGGGAAAGTAGTTTCAGGCCGTAACAGAAAACCTCTCTCACTTTATCTGTAGGCAGTTTTATTAGGCAGAAAGGTGTTTCCTTGCGAGGAGGGTAAAGGTTAAAGGCTTGAACTCCTGGAAAAGAACTTACTGGGAGGGTTAATCTAAAAGCAGTGTTTTTAGTGTTAGACTAAAGCGTGAGTAACGGTGAGTAGTTGCAGCCAGGCCTCATTCAAGAGCAATCTGAACGATTTAAATAACGCACCAGATTCTGTTGTTCTCTACAAAACTGGCATTTTCAGTGAAATATAAGGCTAGGCACATGACTCAACCTAAGTGATCATATAAAACACCCCAAGTGGCAGGACTATGGTACATGAGGGCCTGCAGAGTACGAGGCTCTGGGAAATATCACCTGTTAACTAACTGTGACATCCTGAAAATAAATTGACCAGGGCAGCAGTGTATTTGTGCAATGGAGACATCCTAAAAATTTTCTGCCGTTAAACTGAATTCATCTGTTGCCACTGTGGAATCTTAAGTAACGCTGTAATACCAGCATTTTGAAGCCTAGGGCGTATACGCTTCAGTCAAGAATTGAAGAATGCCTGTAACTTCATGCTGTAGTGCGTTCTTGGGGGTTTCAGGTGGAATTTCAACTTTCAGCTTGTCAAATGGTGTAACATTTAAAGGACAATCAAAGCAGGAATTGGGAAGGGTGTTGTCTGGGCAGACACACCAAGCCGTTCTGTATTATGTGGGCAACTGTCCATCACTGGAGAAGGGAGAGCCTCTAGGGAGTTGCATGCTAGATTTGTTCTAAACAATAGCAGTCCTCAACTGTTTGTTAAATGCTCTTGGGAGAACGTTAGAGCTGCAAGCCAGAATGAATGTTACTGGGTTCAAACAATCTGGTTGTAAGAGAAATCAGTGGGAGTTTTGCAAGGAAAGCTTTTTATGAATAGCTGGTCAAAGCCTTTTCAAAAGAATGCAGCGTTAAATCCTAACTGGACCAATAAAGGCAAGAGCAGATCACATGGGCAGTATTTAAGGTAATTAAGCCAGCTGACCGGCTCTGTGCTTTGGAAGCTGCTTTTGTAATCCAAAATACAAGAAACTGGGCTTTGTCTGTGCTTCTCAAATTAACAAATATGGACAGCAGTGAAATAGAGGAAGAAATCAGCAGTGTAGGATACAGACTAATGCCTTACTGACAGAAAAGAGACAGTACTTCAGAGTTGTATAAGAGCTAATTCATCAACAGTCTTGTAATAAGCAGATCAGAGGAATCATTGCATAAATTGTACAGTTTAATATATGTAATTATCTTGTTTTGACCAGTGAAGCAGATTGCTTTTTTCAAGAGCTGTAATCTATGGGGAGACGGGTCAGAGGAACAGAGCAAACCATTCAAAGAGCAGTCAAGCCTGAAGAAACTGGGAGAGTATTTGAGAGGAGCTGAGCCCAGCAGAAACTTGCATGCTTGTTTTTGTAAACCGCTAAGCAGCCGTTTGACAGAATTCTCACTTTGTGCATTGTGTAGGGCCGGTGACAGTTTTTGCTTTGAATTTGTTGTTCTTACACCTTTTAAATTCATTATAATGTTTTTATTTATTTATGTACTTATTTTCATTTGAGGCAACTGATTGATTGATTTCATTTTATTTATTCATTGTATGTGTTTGGATGCATTGAATGCTGCTATTGTTCATTAGGTGTCTACTACAAGATTTAAGAAGTTGGAACAATTCTTAGTTGTATTTTTTGTCTTACACAAATAGCATATCTTGAATGAAGGATGAACTAGCTTATATTCAGAAATTATACTAGATTCCATCTTAAATGGTTTCAAAAGTAGATGTGGCACTTGGTTCCTTCATCTGGGGATGGAGGCAAGCTGTGGAATTTTCTCAGGGTTTTCTTTGCAACTACTTTGCTAGCATTTCTATACTCCCAGAAATAACCTGTTCTCAAGGACCTTTAAAACACTGTGGTTAGTAGTTAACTTACTTATATCAGAAGAAAACGTACTAAAACTTCACTTCCATACTCCATCAATTTATCAGACTTTACTAGCTAGGCTATAGCTGTCTCAGGTTTATACTATGTTCCTGTGTTGAGGGCTGCTGATGCATTCTAACCTAAAGCAGCTGTTCTTAACCCAGCTGGTCTCAGTAGCACAGAAATACTGATTTTTATGAGGTGGTGGCAAAATTAATGTTGTGTAGAGCAGTCTGTATTTCATTATTTGCAGGAGCAGTGAAGCTGCTGTTAAGTCAAGCATCAAGGAACACTTCATACCAATAGCCTCGGGTAGTGACTAGCCTTGAGAAATGTGTGTCTCAGCTCTGGCGTTATCCAATTCCACTTTGTTTTCAGGTGAAAAAGACAAAGGAAACTCCAGGTCCTCTCCCCTTATCCTAAATAAAGAACATAAAGGAATTCCTTTGGCTGCCTCCCCTGTGAAGACCTTGACGTTTCCACTGATAGAGGAAGCACAGAAGCAACCGTGCAGAGCTGAAGAGAAGAAGATACAGATTATACCCCAGCATCTTGTACAAAAAGCGCTAGCCTTGCAGACTTTTTTGCCAGACTCTTCTGTACTAGAAACAGAGTCTCACAGTAAGAGTGAAGCCTCCTGTGGGGTAAAAGACGATTTCTTCTTAGATTTCACCCAGGATTCAGAAGGCAACCGGATCCTTGCTCACAGAAACGCAGCTGATTTACGTGCAGGAGAAACAGTCTCTGCAAGCAACATAACTTCAGGAAAGACAGCAGCCTCCTGGATAAACAAAGAAGAGAGCCAGCTGGACCCAGAGGAGAAGGATGGACTTGATTTCCAACCAAGACGTGGTGCAAACCAAAGTAAGAAACCACACCAACTGCCTAGTAGTGATCATTCTTTAATTGATTTCTCTGAGCCTGAGAACGTAAATCCTGCTATAACGAGAGACAATATCTGGGCTGCTGGCTTGTATTCGTCTCCAAAAAGAACGACAAAAGCACAGCCTTTGAGAGAGTGCGGCCAAATCACTGGTGGTGGTTCAGCTAAGGAAGAATGGGACAGGAAGACCAGACTAAGCAGTCCTTTGAAGCAGTTGTTTACCCAGGATTCAGAGGGGAACAGAGTAATTTCCCACTACTGCCAGAAAGTGAGATCTCCTCTAAAAGACAAAAACAGCATGAGTAGTAGGCTGACTAACTCTCCATACAAGGATTGTTCCAGGGACACTACAAATAGGAACATAAGCAAACTCGAGGAGCCTCCTCAGTTAGAGGCATGCTACGATTTACTATTCACACAGGATTCAGAAGGGAATAGAGTTATTAAACACTGACTAGTAACCATTAATGGGTAGCCTGTATGAACTCTTCTGAAGCCTAAGGCGAGTATCTTCTTTTACGAAAGGGGTTAGGAATAGGTAAGTATGCCCAGTGCTTAAATAGTTGGTCTAGATGGTATATGTAGTGTACCCATGCAACAGGCAGAATCTCTTTGGTCCCTAATAAAATACATTTTTTAAAGGAGTATGTTTATAATGCTTTGGTGGTTTCAATCGTGATTACAGTCTATGTGGCTAAGGCCTTGGCTTTACTACTTTTACCAGTGCTTATATAACCTGCTGCAGTTCAGCTTAAAATAACTTGCTGGTGCCACTTGTGTATTTCTTAGTATGCTGTAAGTCCAAAATAGAAGCTTTTTTTTTAGGATCAGCTCAGGAACCTACTGTCTACTTCAGACATTAGCTACCTCTTAAGAAAGATTAGGTTCAACTACCACTCACAGAATTCTGCTGTCATCCAACTGCAGTTGTACTGTTGTCTATAAGTGACAGCTGTTGTGGGGGTGGAGGGAAGTAATAATGAGTTGTTGGCTTTTCAGCTTGTGCTGCTATAACTGTTAAAGGCTCACCTACCTGCAGCTAGCAAAGGTGTAATGAAAGCACTTAACTCCTACTGCTAAGCTTACCAAAGGCGTAAAGCAATGCAAATTGTGATAAGAGGCTGAATGCTAACAAACAGTGCATCTACTCGGGGTGAATCTGAACTGCAATCCTAACACTAGATGCCTGTGTACCTCTTTCATAGGATGGGATGCACCTGGCTAGACTGGGGTGTGCCAACAAGTCCTCTGCTCATGTTCTTCCCAGCTTCAGGTTGATGGTACTGTTACAGCCCTGGTTAGGTGGAAAGGCAAAGCACTGACCCCTTTCAGTGAATTATGTTAATTAGTAGTAGAACCCACTGAATTATGTTAAATATTAGTTGAATTGCATATAGCAGCTGCCACATTTCAGTAACAGCAGTGGATAGTTTTTGTATGCTTTTTGTACAGCTTGTTCAGCATAATCCCCTTGTTTTAGATACGTAGGATTTTGGATGGGCATGCTTTAGATTTTTATCTGCTTTGAAGCACAGGGACCAGCTGCTCAAAAACCCTGGGGGGGAGGGGGGGGGGGCAGCGCGTCAGCAACAGCGCCAGCATCTGTGACCACGACCACATTCCAGAACAACCACCTTTTTTTGTTAGAAGCAACTGCCTAATTTTTTTTTAAAACCTTTTTCATGCTGAGTACAACTAGTTTTTCCCCAGCCACTGCTTTAACTCTGTAAAAAGTGCCATTTAATACAGCTTTTCTTTCCCACTGGGCCAGAATTTCAGTACAACAGGTCAAATGAAAGCTATGTCACAGTCCAGAAGTTAGTTGCACTGCCTGCATGTGGAAAACGTTCCCAGAAACAGGGAATCTTGGTTTCAGTTCCATCTATCTTCTCCATAAGGGGATATACTCCTACCTGCTCCTTATACAGAAGAGACTGACTTACTGTGACAGAAGGAATGACTGGGTAGTCCAGTGGCTCATGGGAAAGAGCTGTTCTTGGGACTGCATCTTTATCAACCCTATATAAAATAGATTAAGTCTTGAATACTATTTCTAATCTCAGCTCACTGCATGGCCAGATGGTCCCATAGAAGCTTCTTTGCTCGCTTTTAAGGTGGGGATGATGATTTAACTAACTTTTCAAGGCCTGAGGAACTAGTGAATTAAGAAAGCCTTAGTATTTGACTTTGTTAATTCAGCTTAATAAATCGCTGTAGCACTATAACCTAACACTTTATCTGTAGCAGTTGAAATCCCTCCCATCACATAAGGCACTATTTCTGACATGTTGTGGACATAAGCATATTAATAATATTAAGGACAACTACTGTCTTATTAAGGCTCAATTTTATATAAAGGAAAAAAAAATCATACTTTAAATACAGCCATGAGGAACATTGCAGAGTGAGCATAGCTGAAAGAAACATCTTCAATTAGTGAGAACTGTAACCATAAACAATGCCGATTTCCCTTTGCTTAGCTGACAATTCTTGTCGTGCTCAGTGGTTCAATATATAGACCTTTCAGAATACTAAGTGAAATACATTTCATCTGAATACGAGGACTGTTAACGAAACATGAAAGTATGGGCAAGAAATTAAGGCCATTCTGTCATGCAACTACAGGGATGATTTGTGAGTCAAGAAACATCAAGGGCCTATTATAACCAGCCAGCACCCCTTAGGCATAGCTGAATGGTTTGATCATTTACTTCACTTCCATCTAATCATCAGCTTAGACAAGGCTGGTGGGAAGCAGCTTTTTACCTCCTTGACTCAACAACTTCCTAAACACTGAAGACCTGAAAGCATGAACCAGTTTATTCTCAATAGCTCTGTACCAGACTCACAGTAGAGGAAGAACTGGATGTTTGACATCCACTTGTACTACAATGGGTAACAAGTTATATTGCAGCAAGACAGTAGTTATAAGTTAACTTGACTGCTTAATTTGAACCTCAGGAAAACTGTAGGTAGAAAGAACTTCATCCAGCAGCACTCATTGCACTCTTTTGAAGAGCCTTACCAAAAAAATCAAGCTCTAAATACAGGTGGAAAAGAATTTCCATCTTCTTAAAAAGTTTTTTTCTTAAATATTACAATACATTGAAAACACTTCAGATCGACAGGGCCTTGCCTAAGTAAGTGTCCGGTGCATAAACAATTTCTAATTAATAAAAGAGGCAAAAAAGTTCCATCCTTAGGAAGGCAGCTACTGTGGAGAAAATTTGGGGCACATAACACTTGCTTACGGCGTTTAATGACAGTAACATCATTTCTCTTTCATGGTTAGATCTTCGTCCTTGAGGGCAAATTTTCTTCTCAAAACTTCTGCTATAAGAACAGCAGGGTCTTCCTCTTTCATTGAAGTTCGATTTCTATGTGGAAGATTAAAAACCACAGTGTATTAATAAACACCAACGTTGATGGCTTACAACGCTAGTTAGATTTTTAACTTTAGAAATGCATTTAAGTATTTTCCTGTAACCTTGCTCACCAGCTTCTGTTGCAAGTGAAGGAAGGATGTGCACGATCAACAGTACAAAACAAAAGGCAGCTTAAAATTCAGAGCTTTCATGTTTGGTGTAGGAAACATGCAGCTCATGTTGTGGATCAAGTTGTATCACTGAAAAAATCTCAGCAAAGCTCTTTGTTTATCATTTTTATTCAACTGTGTTAATAACAGGTAAGAAAATAAATTCATAGGCTCTGTCCCCTGAGTATAAATCTAAAAAAAGTTGATCAAATTGAAGGCCTCAAATTCATCATTAATTTCACTATACAATACATATGTGCTTTCATTTTTAAAAAAATACTTTAAAGCGAATTGTTATGCATTTCCCTTCTCTTACATGACTGCACAGTGGGTTTTTTTTTTTTTTTTCTTCAAATACCATTCTATCATCAAGACATTCTGCCTTTTGTGACAAGTCCAGGCAGGCAGTTTACTTTAGAAGGGCCACTGAGCCTATTTCACAGGAAGGCAAAACCTTTTTTCTTTTTTTCCCCCTCCTCAAGTTATTGTGAATTACTCAGTTAGGCTTTGTTTGGAACCTGTAATAATTTCAGAGCTTAACTTTTTTATAGTTAAAAATCCTCTCTTGGTCAGAAACCACCATGTGTTTTAAACATTTCTTAAAAAAAACAACCCCCAAAGTGTTTCCGTATGTGTTTGGGAGGTGCTTGCTCTCAGATTAACAATGAAGGCTTTTAGTATGCTGTATAAGATGTCATTCAGAGGCTCACAGGTAACCCTTCGCTCTAGGGCAGACTGCTGGCCGAGTCAAGTTCTTAATTTACGGTTGCATACGTGCATCACAATTTAAAAGCTGATTTTAGGGCTAGAATCATGGCACTGATTTCATTCAGATAGAACTGTTCCTTCTGATAAGGGTACAGAGACAAAGATCAGAGTAGGGCATCTGGAGTCCCCCCCAAGAACCATTCCTTCCACGCAGGCAAACCTGAGAGTTCAGTTACCCAAAGCATCGATCAACTGCCTCAGAAAAGGCACAGCGAGAAACCCAAGCAGCCAGAGGAAGAGCCTAGGCTAACAGCAGCAAAGAGGCAGCCGTGACAAAGCCTAAAGCTGTGCTGATCACAAGGAAAATGCTATCACAAGATGAATACAGAGATAATGCGGACCAGGGGTGAGAAAAGTAATCTGTCCTACCAAAGAGTACAAACTTCCTACAGCAAGGCACAACCAGCAACAACTGCAAGAAACTAGCAGCAGAGGCAGCACTTCAACACCTAGAAGCACCAGAATTAAACTTCAGCGTCTCAGTCCTTTAGAGCTTCTCCAAGGGCCAGAGAAATAATCATGGGCAGATTAATTTGTTCAATCCCACAGAAGTAGTAGTACTTAAAAATAAAAGTGTACTCACATTCCAAGCAGCTCCTCATGCTACCTGTTTTTAACCACACACTGAATGCACGGCTCAGCAGGCATACTACTCAGACAATCCCCTTCCAGAGGGCATCACAGACATTTTAAAAGGCTCTATTTGACATTTGTTGAAACACACACATTTCTGCAAGCGTTTCTCATACTCATTCCTGAAGCTTCCAAGGTTGTGATTAAGCACCAAGTCCTAAATAGGAGCATCAGAGAAGCATCTATGTAATTATCTTGTTAAGCATCATTTGGCACCTTCATCCACAAAACTTAGAAAAAGAGTACGTGATCCTTTAAGTTTTACTGCTGTTACATACCTACACTAGCAAAACTGCTCTGTACTAAACTAACAGTACCTAAGCAAAGTGAGCACAGCTGTAAAAGCACAATTCTGCTGGTACAGCTGCACTGACACTAGAGGAGTGGGCCTGGGAATCATCGTTCCACATCAGAGACAAACAACTGTAGTGTGGAAACTTAACAGTGGCTTATGCCAGGCATTTCTTTTGCAGCAAGGTAAAAGTGGGTGTACCATCAATTACTCAGCTGTCAAAGATCACTTTACTAAACTGCAGACACAATTCCTTTCAGCTGTCTGTCCATATACAAAGTTCAGAAAACCAGAGAAATATAAAATATAGATGCCTCCATGGAGACTACCTGTATGAAACTGCTCTGATTTAAAACACTTGTTCATATTGCCATTGCTTCTAAACATACTTGTCCTTATAACCCAGGTAGTTAGAAAGAGGCAGTTCACTGTCAGCAGCTGTGGGAAAGAGGCATTTCATGACTAATTAATGTATTCTGATGTGGCAATACAGGCCAAGAGCCACATCAATAGATACCAAAATAAAAAATTGCAAAAAATGAAATGAAAGGAAATGCTACGTAACAAAAGCTGTATGAGTGATATTACCCTCCAGCCTAGTGCGGAACAAGAGCTGCTTGCAGCCCGAAACATGAAGTATTCCTGTGCTACAGCCTGGGCTGGCGTTGCAGTCAGCCATCTTCCGTTAGCAGGTTAAGTCACCATGCCACCAGACTGGAGAGGGATCAAGCATCAACAATTTAAGCTAGTCAAACAGTGAACATTAGTGAATTAGTCAATGTAATTTTTCAACTATCTATCTGCGACTGTTCTAATTAAGCTCTAATTAAGATAAAATAACCATATACTAAAACACGCCTCTTGCATTTAAGAGGCGGGTTAAAGGCTAAGACAGAGAAACAGATGAGAAGAAAAGTTAAGCTCAAGCAAGAGATGGTCTCAAGGTTTTGTACTGAAGTGTTTCTGGTTTTGATGCAAGGAGCTGCACTACAGGAAGCCTGTAAAAATGAAATAATTCCACGTACTAATGCAGTTAACTCCATTGGAAGCCTGAAAATTCATGATATTACAGCCAACACATTCAAACAATACAGGGAAAAGTTCTCTGAGCTCCATCAAAAAGAGACACTAGACTCATCTGTGACCCAACTCCCCTCCTAATCAGTCAAGCGGTCACTAAGGGGGAAAAAAGGTTTTGGTGATTCAGGTCCTTTGCCCAACTCTGTACCTAACAAGGAAGGTTTTGGTAGATAGCACCCTCTCCCCAATCTCCAAGAAGTATTCTACAGTATGAAAACCTTCCTCTCTGCCATCTTCTGTAATCTTATAAAGAACCAACCTCGTTAATAAATCCTTTCTTTGTGCGCAGGCCATCTCTTATTCCTCTTTCCTTTCATGTAGATTCCTTTCTACAGTAACAGCAGTATTAAAGACTTCCATCCGTTGCCAGTTATTCTCATACATTCCGGCTAGGAAATTCGAGTCCAATTTTGATCTTACTGCAGCTCTCCCTGCCACCTACTGCTTTTCACAAAGGATCAACTATGGCTGCTGAAGACACTGAAACACTTGTGCTCCATAATTACCACATGCAAAAAAATAATAGGGACAGCTGATTATTTCAGCTTCAGCATAACAACTGCTAACTGCATAACATGCTAAACTAGCCGTGGCTAAAATAAACTAATTCTAAGTTTAGAAGTCATATTTTTGTTTCTGTCATTTTCATGGATTTGCTCCAACCTGCCTCAAAGGCTTTGCAAACAGCTCCCCCGCCCCGCCCCGCTCACTGGCTCGTTACAGGTGTTCTGGGTGCAAGCTGAACGCACTTCTCTCATTTGACTATATAATTTTTCCAGTGCTGAGAACTACATTTCTTTTCAACTGAATCAGGCATAAAAATTGTGAACAACCATCACTCAACACGTTATTTTTGGCCAGGAACGTTATTCACACAACATAGTGCCTGGATACATCTTTGGGCTGAAATTTGGAAATTGAACTTTAGCGCTGTGATTTCATATGCAGAACAAAGGGCAGAGCTAACATATTAAAGAAGCTACTTTATCACATGGGCGGAATCCTCTCTCAACCATGCAGAAGGCAGCATGTCAGCAATCTGGGGCATTCTCATGATAAATGCATACACTTATCTTGGGACAAGTGCAAACTCATTCTGTGCACGTTCAAACTTGGCCAGATGTGAACCAAATCCAGTCTGGAAGCTGAAAAGCTCTGTCTGTTCACTCCCGTACGTACCATGCTGAAGCAGCTGTTCAGCTTCCCAGCTGGAGACAGCTTGGGTCTTGAACAACTTCAAGCAGAGAACTGCAATGTGGGCCTCACTTTGAATGCTGTTCTGGTTTTAATCTGGGCAAAGCACAAGCTCTTTCTGAGGTAAACAGGTTGAAATAGGCAAACGCTGTGCTCATCTGTTTAAGTTCCTCACTCCACAACTTTCTATCCAGGCAGTTCAATAATGCAGGTTTGGTCCAAAAGCTATCATACTGGATGTAATTAAAATAATACAGAAACATAAGCATCAACAAGTTCTACTATAAAATTGGTATTTCCCCTCTGTGAATCATGAACATACAGCACCACCAACAAGCGGAGGAATGCAACGTCCAGTGTTTACAATGATTTGACAGACAAAAAAAAAAAAAAGATGACAAACTTTCAAAGAGAAAATAAAATCAAGAGAGTTCAGAAAAGACTTACAAGTCTTTGTTCTGCTTCATCCTATGAATGTCTTTAAGAATGCCCATCATGTCCGCAAAACTGCTGGCCTTCGAAAGGGACACAGAATCTTCCTCGTCAGGATCCTTTGGTTCTGGTTTACAACATTCAGAGGTCGCAGAACAAAGCATGGAAACTGATGGGAGCTCTGGGGTTTCTAATTCTGCCTCCTCCTCTGTGATATCACTAATGACAAAGGAAGTTGTAGAGTGGAAAGAGGGTCCAAAACATGGTAAAGGAGAAGATGCATTTGAACTTTCTGGAGATAATAAATCTGGTGTTAATGAAGCAGAAGCTGAAAAAGAAAATAATATAGGTGGATAAATAAACTAATGCCAAACCTTTTTTTTTTTTTTCCTAAACAATAGAATATGAATCAAGAGGCATCATCAACCAGCCTCCCCCACATTATCAGAAAACAAATTCATCAAATCCTGTCTTGCCTCCATGGCTAGTCCACTTCCTAGAATACCATGTGGCAATACAAGACCTTCTCCAGTATCTTTTATCCCTCTAGCCCACCATACTTTTATCTCTATACCTATCATGCCCATCGCCATATCATCCCGGCAGTTCAAACATTGCATTCAGTACCTGCATAAGCCAAGTTTGCTTTTTCCATTTTATAGATAAGAAATGAAAGAACAGAGATTTAGCTGCTGTTCAAGGTCACAGAGGGAGCCTGTAATTCAATATAGGTCTTAATTGTCTTAACTTTTCTTCTCTTGCCCTTCACCACAGTACTTACTGCCGTCCTTCCTTTTCCTTTCAGTCTCTTTCCCCTCAAACCATTACACGTGGTGTAAATGCAGAGCTGGATCAAGAGCTCCTGCATTTTAAACCAGGCTTTCATAGCGATTCCCTCTGTGAGGGCAGGCATTTTGACCGGTCTTGCTTTCCACCTCTATCTATAAAATGAGAGCAGCACCCACCTATTTCACAAAGAAGATGGGATTTATTTGCTCATGTTTTAAAGCACCATGAGGATAAGAACAGCTGTATAAAATCCAAGTGTTATTAAGTGAAAGTGAGATAGATATTCCCAATTTAAAACATAAGGAAAAAAATGAAATATGCTAAGTGCACATCTCCTTGAAAGAACTTTCCTGCATTGAAAATAAATGGTACCTTACAGTACTAATGCCCTTAGCCTCCAGAGAAAAGTTGTAGATTGTTATCAATTTCCAATTAAGGGATTTCGGTAACAGTATATAATAAAGCAGACTGCACAATATTTATTTTCTTTGCCATCAACCTTTCCAAAATAAGCCTGCTAACTAGTCATCTCCTGTATCAGATTACTGAGCCACAGCTAGGCCCTAAATCATAGTTCCCAACTATTGACTTAGAAGATGCTACGTCAATAAGAACTGTTCTCAAATGCTAGCTCATAAACACTGGGGACATTACTAAGTAGAGAGGGAGAGAAAAGGGAATTAAAGGACTAATGCATTTTCCTCCCACCCAGATCTCTGATTTTCTGAGTTATTACTTTCTTTGAATTAAAACAGGCTTTTCTAGCACATGGCTTGGACACCTGTAGAGCAGAGACAGAAGTTAGAAGGAAAAATGCACAGAATTTGCCTGTTCTTTATTCCAATCCAGTTGTTCCTCTGATCTTGCATAAAGAAGAAAGAGGACACACATAGCCTGTCTGAAGGGCACATCTGTGATGTCTTGTTTTATACTTATTCCCTGCAGAGCTGAGGGTAATGTGGTTCTGTGACCCTCAAAGTGGCTTCATTTTACCATGCTGTTGTAAACGTCAAAGTACATGGCATATGGGATCTGTGCAACTGCACTCTTTACAGGCGATCAGCTGATGGCTGGTATATTATGACAGGACCAAAAATGATAAGAAACAAAAGCACAGGAAGACAGATATTCTGTGTGTGTGTTAAATCACAACAGAACTATATGAAGGAAATGGATCGTTCCTTGGTAGAAGAAATACCTAATCTCATCTCATTTAAACACAATTTCACAGGCCCAAACCGTCATATACTTCTCAGGTGGTGGCATATAGGTCTATACTATCGATATCAAATAGATTCTTAGAGCGTGTTGATCGTCACGCACAGCTGGAAAACAAGCAACCAACCCCGCCCCAAACAATTTTTCATGTAGAAACCAGTACTCAGGCTAAATCAAACACCACAACCCTCTTCCATGTTCAAATGCTTCTGTAGCTCATAGATAACTGGACTAAATACAAGCAGTCATTAAGGCTCTAAGTCAGCTGGGGCTACAGAAGTCAGACAACCACGCTGTCTTTCACACATCATGAGAGATTTGGTCCCATGTACACATAATGCAGTGCGATGCAACGTAGCAGTCTGGGTATTTAAAAAATATATGCTTTCAGATGTAGGATAAGGAAGATTTCATCAGCCCCTATTACCCATCACAAACAACAGGAATGAACCAGCACGATATCATTTTAAGCATGGCACAATCCTGTTTTGTTTTTTTAAAGTAATAATTTTCTTCCTCTGGAAAGCAGCCACATTATAGCGGTTATCTTGGTTACTGGCCAAAACATTCTGCATACAAGAAATGCAGCTTTAAAAAAGAAAAGCTATCTTCAGAAAGGATTGAATTCCATTAGTTGGCAAAACCGTTCATTTTTCAAGATTTTCCGAGTTGTGAGATCAATAACTCTGCCCTCTGATTACTCCATGAAGATACCCAGATATGTCTAATCTTACTAGCTTCCCAACTCTAAAATGACCATTTTAGCAGCAAGCCTTGCAGTACCACTGGACTTTGGGTCCAAACAAGTGTCTTCATATTTCCAGGGCTTGAGTACATAGGAAAAGCCATGAAAGGAAGTGAAGAAAGAACTTCCTTTTTCCTCACAGTTCGGCTTTGTGGCTAACGCATGGCTTTTCAGCTGCATACAAATTTACTAAAAGAAAGACAGAAAACAACTCAAACTAGGCTCTTCACCAAATACCTTATTTACTACATAAACAGCACTGTCACTTTCACAAAAGAAACACACGAACTTCTCACTCCTAGCCAAATCAAGACATTGCCCTCCAATTCATGACCATCTCAGGGCAGGAATGGCAAGAACATGCCAAATGTTTTCATGAAACAAGGTACTTGAGATGAGACTCAGTCTCCAGACCAAACGCAGCAAGCGCGGTCACAAAGCTATATACTTGGTACCTCTTAAAAACAAGCAGGGCTTCTCTAACTAAACAAATGCAAACATCTAGACAAAGAACCATCACTGAGCTGGCACCAAAGACAGCGTCCCATCAGCAAGAAAAACGTCCTGACAATTCTGCGGTGAAAACAAACTGCAAGTCTGGTCTATATATAGGGGAAATATCACTGCTCACTAATTCAAGCCTTCTTATTCAATAAAAAAAAGGTCATTATGCGCCTACCTGATTCCGCAGCCACTATTTTAGCTATCTGACTCCGAAGGTGACTCAGCTCATCCTGGAGCTCAGTTGTTCGGCTCAGTGCTGGTAAACCAGGTTTCTTCAAGGCGAGCAGCTTCTCTTCCTGCTTCCTCAGGTTGGGGACTGAAGCGTTTCGCTGTATGACAGTGAAGGGACTGGGCTTCCACTTGTGCTTCAGTGGGCGAGTGTCGCTCCTAAGATGCATAGGACAAAAATCTGTTGGTCACTTGCAAGATCCAGACCCCTCTGTGATAACGCTCTGCAAGTCTCTGCCTCCGCCTCAAGAGAGCAGAGTACTTTGCAGACAACGAAACAATGAAGCCTCTGTACCACTACGCTGTACGTGCCACTGTATGGATGTGCTGTTCCGCTGCACGTGCTGTCTCTATTACAAAGAATAGAAAGTCAGTTGTAGAAATCATGGCCAAACAGCACAAGACGTGGTGAGAGGAAGCTGGGACAAATTTTGGGCGTGTTCACGTGGTTTCGAGTCATTTCTCCCCCTGGGCAGTTCAGTGTGTATAGCTGGGGAAGAGTCACTTACCCCATTATCCCGTGCCTCTCATTTCAAAGTCCATTTCTCTTTCACAAGATACATATCATTACTGCCCTGCTTTACGGACAATAATTACCAAAGTTCAACTGATCAGAACTAAACTCCTGGGGTCAGAGCATTTTGATCCCAGAAAGACAGCTCAACTCTTCAACTTTCCAAGGTGAAAATGCCAAGAATCACCCGGGCTTCTCTGCACAGACCTTTCAGTGAGAAACCTGTGGTAGGACACAGTCTTTTAGTAATTTCCCCCAGGGTTCTTTGTCCAAATTTTTTTCCCATCTCCTGGGGATAAAAGTCTTTCAACAGGCATCACCACACCTCAAGGACACGGGAAGTTGTGAGCATTTGATCAACGCCTGCCCTATGCTATACAGAATAAACCAGCATATAAAAATAAGGATCAGCAGGTACAAAGAGAAAACCAACCTGACTCTGGCATACGTTTCTTCATCATCTGCTGCTATCCACACAACGTCTGCTAAAGTGGGGACTGGAGGGACGTCACTTAAATAGAGTTCTGAAACGTTTGGCAGAACCTAAAAACAAAAGTGACATTAAGGAAACGGAGGTCCTGTTTCCTGAAACTGTACCAGATCTGTTCTATTGCCCATCGGAGGCTTTCTCTGCATCAGGTCAGCAGCTCAATCTCAGATATGCAACAGCAACACTGTTTGGCTTACGGAAGAGTAGTGTTTCAGTGTGTTGACTTATATGCCTGCTCCTGGGTTGTGTTATTAAGTGCTAGCATGCTTCATAAGTCTGAACAGTGAGGCTGCAAAAGGACATGTGATCCAACTCAACAGGCTGCCAAGGCCACGTGCAACACTCTCCCGTTACAAGCCCCTGGCTCTGTCCTTGACCTCAGAGCGACACAGGCATTTCCATACACCTTGTTCTACTGTTTAGGAAAAAAAGCCACAGAGGACGAGAGGTTTGTTAGAGGTCCCGCAATGAAGACACGGTTCAGTGACACGATGTTTCTGTCTCCTCTAATTACTAGTGCATTAACCTCATGTATAGACGCTATTTTAGAAGATGTTTTCCTCATGTTACCAAGGCTTATTTAAAGGTACAGGATTTACCAAAAAAAAAAAAAAACCTTAAAATTAACTCTGCTGCAGAATGAAAGTTCTGTCAATACAACTCTACAGGTGCCTTTAGCCCCCCCAGAATAGCACATGACAGTGCTGTTCAACAACTGCAGCTTCCTACATGTAATCGCTGAATCCTTTACAAGCGTGCTTACCTCAAAGGTTGCTCTGGGACAGGGTTTTAGAGGAAGGGTTGACCCGATCCTCCTGACAACGCTGCGTGATGAGCCGTGGGGCTTGTTCTGCCAAATGGGAATCGTCTGAAAGATGCAACTTTATAAAATCAGTATTTCAAGTCAGCTGCCCTTTTTTAAAGTTTATTAAGCTGAAAACCACCCCAAATAGTCAACGCGAAGCTCTGATCTCTGATTTTTTATTTGTTCAAAGATACTTTTGAATTTGTTTTTTCCAAGGAACCGGGCACTTGCTGATAACTAAGGTCCGACTTCCATAAAACTGTGTTTCAAGTGCACATACGTGAAAGCCAGTTACTAAAGGGCGTTTTAAGCACGCGTGTATGACTGAAAACGGAAAGCAGTGGTGTGAGGGTGTGTGGTGGGGGGGTTGTGTGGTGGGGTGTGTGTGTGTATATGTATGGTGTGAGAGTGTGTGAGGGTGTGCGTGTGGTGCGAGGGGTGTGTGTGTGAGGGTGGGTGTGTGTGTGGTGTGAGGGTGTGTGGTGGGGGGGTTGTGTGGTGGGGTGTGTGTGTGTATATGTATGGTGTGAGAGTGTGTGAGGGTGTGCGTGTGGTGCGAGGGGTGTGTGTGTGAGGGTGGGTGTGTGTGTGGTGTGAGGGTGTGTGGTGGGGGGGTTGTGTGGTGGGGTGTGTGTGTGTATATGTATGGTGTGAGAGTGTGTGAGGGTGTGCGTGTGGTGCGAGGGGTGTGTGTGTGAGGGTGGGTGTGTGTGTGGTGTGAGGGTGTGTGGTGGGGGGGTTGTGTGGTGGGGTGTGTGTGTGTATATGTATGGTGTGAGAGTGTGTGAGGGTGTGCGTGTGGTGCGAGGGGTGTGTGTGTGAGGGTGGGTGTGTGTGTGGTGTGAGGGTGTGTGGTGGGGGGGTTGTGTGGTGGGGTGTGTGTGTGTATATGTATGGTGTGAGAGTGTGTGAGGGTGTGCGTGTGGTGCGAGGGGTGTGTGTGTGAGGGTGGGTGTGTGTGTGGTGTGAGGGTGTGTGGTGGGGGGGTTGTGTGGTGGGGTGTGTGTGTGTATATGTATGGTGTGAGAGTGTGTGAGGGTGTGCGTGTGGTGCGAGGGGTGTGTGTGTGAGGGTGGGTGTGTGTGTGGTGTGAGGGTGTGTGGTGGGGGGGTTGTGTGGTGGGGTGTGTGTGTGTATATGTATGGTGTGAGAGTGTGTGAGGGTGTGCGTGTGGTGCGAGGGGTGTGTGTGTGAGGGTGGGTGTGTGTGTGGTGTGAGGGTGTGTGGTGGGGGGGTTGTGTGGTGGGGTGTGTGTGTGTATATGTATGGTGTGAGAGTGTGTGAGGGTGTGCGTGTGGTGCGAGGGGTGTGTGTGTGAGGGTGGGTGTGTGTGTGGTGTGAGGGTGTGTGGTGGGGGGGTTGTGTGGTGGGGTGTGTGTGTGTATATGTATGGTGTGAGAGTGTGTGAGGGTGTGCGTGTGGTGCGAGGGGTGTGTGTGTGAGGGTGGGTGTGTGTGTGGTGTGAGGGTGTGTGGTGGGGGGGTTGTGTGGTGGGGTGTGTGTGTGTATATGTATGGTGTGAGAGTGTGTGAGGGTGTGCGTGTGGTGCGAGGGGTGTGTGTGTGAGGGTGGGTGTGTGTGTGGTGTGAGGGTGTGTGGTGGGGGGGTTGTGTGGTGGGGTGTGTGTGTGTATATGTATGGTGTGAGAGTGTGTGAGGGTGTGCGTGTGGTGGGGGGGGTGTGTGTGTGAGGGTGGGTGTGTGTTTTGTGTGAGGGTGTGTGGTGGGGGGGTTGTGTGGTGGGGTGT